ATTTTCATATACCATATGAAATCCTACTATTTTATAGCATCCCATACAACATACATAGCAAAATTTACATATGGTAAAAGTTGCTATATGTATAGCTAATTTAGCTATGTTAATATCAGGAATATCACAATAAAATATAGCTGAACAAACACAATATTTTTTTACAGATAATGCTATAAAATATAACAATATCCTTTATGTATTATATGAACAAAAATAATGTTACATAGTGGTTTATACAATATTTTTATAGTAACTCATACAATATTGTAGTACAATTTGCATATGGTAGAAATTGTTATATGGATAGCTAATTTGGCTATGTTACTATCAGAAATATTACAATAAAATATAGCTGAAAAAAGACTAATTTTTTTATAGGTAGCGCTGTAAAATATAGCAATATATTTTATGTAACATAAGAGAAACAATAATGTTATATAATAGTATACACAACAATTTTTTGGAAAGAAAAGTTCGATTAAAGTTCAAGACGCTAAAGTAATTCAACTATGTATTTTATATTATAAATGACATATATTGTATGTATGTCATTATAAAAAATATTACCATAAATTACATAAAATATCTGAAGAAAGTTTCCCTATAAAACACAATAAGTTATTATAAAAAAATAAGAGTATTTTATTTAACAGAGTGTTAAATATTTCTTGAAAATCAAAGACGTTTAAAATTAAATGTACATATGTATGTATGTATGTAGTTCAAATATTTCAATTTCAGAGACCTACTATTAAGCATAAATATTCTTACAAAAAATAGATATACAAAAATTGTTTCATATTAAAACAATAACAAAAATATTTTACTGTTTGTGAATCATGACCGTCAGGAATGTTTTTTTCTCGTTTTTAACTTATTTCTTGTTATTTACTAAGAATTTAGAGAAAAAAAAAATAGACCAAAAAATAGCCACATACATACAACATACATGCATATGTATTAGCATACATAAGAAATTTGTAGCGATTAGTGAAGCAATTTCAAAATACAGAGTTGGCTATATGGGTGGACAAGTGTTCATTTTTTATAATTACGTACATATATCAGTATTGGCATAAGTATATGTATGTAGTTACTTTGCTTCCAAAAATCAAAGTATATCTATTCAATAAATAATTCAATTCGTCCAATGCCGTTAGTTTTCGTTTGCAAGTTACTGCCAAATTCTCAAAATATTCAATTTTTATTTAGAAATAGATGAAAATAAGATTTGTGTAGGTAAGAAAGAAACAAAATATTCCAATCAAACGAGTGAAATAAAAGTAAATTAAGTAGATAAAAATTTTGTTATTTTTATGTTGATAATAACAGAATTTATTTTTCATAATAGCATAGTATGTTACTTTTCATTTTAAGTATGTTACTTTTCATTTAAACGTACATATATCTACTGCTTTTATGCGAAAGCATTTGATATACGTTTAAGCCTTCATGTACACATGGTATATGCATGTACCTGGTATAGCAGATACACAGTATCAGGTAATGATATAATAATAATGCGATTTTATACTTAAACGTACATACGAAAAAATGGTAGACCTCTACTGCCTACCCTTTCCTCTCCCAAGAATTCCTATGTGTATAAAAATGGAAATAAGAAGGTATACAATAGGCTTAATTCTTTTAGCTAAGGGAATTTTTGGTATACAAATAGTGGTGAATGATTGCATCAGTGTGATGTAAACGCAGAGTCGAATTACTTATTAAAATAGACATACTTTGCTAAAAATGTCAATCTTATGCACATATTGATACAAATTTGCTTATTAAAATTGCTCAAATAAATATTCGTCAAAATAACACAAAAATATTGTACATACATACATACATAAAAAAGAAAGCGAAATCTGATTTTTTCATAATGTTTTTTTAATTTTTCGAAAGAGCTAATTTTAAGACTGTTTTCATAACAAAAATAAAAAGGTTTTTAAGCTAAACATTTCTCCTTCTATTTTTTAATATGTACAAACATATGTATGTATATACATACATACATATATATTTTTATAACATATCACACTTTAATTATTAAAAATTTTTTATTTTGGCTTGTTTAAAAAATTTGTTATAGAGTAAAAATTATTTTACAGCTAGCTAAAGTAAAAGCATGTTAAAATGAATAAACGACCAAGTTTATTTATGTGTTTGCCAATTTTATGTTGAAATATGTACATAAGTATGTATGTGTTTATATAACACTGCAAAGCCTTATATGTATGAGCATTTTTGTATTTGCATATTTGCCAGGACGTAGGTACGAATGTTAAATTGACGACAGGTCAAACCATATCATATTCAATTTACAATACTTGTGTTTATAATAGGGATGGCACAGAAAAAAAAAAGTATCCTAAATTTTTAAAGAGAGTGACATGGAGAAAATTTGAAAAAAAAATTAAAATTTTAATTTTTGCTCTTGTATGTATGTAAATATAAATTAAATAAACTAATTATACCCTTTCTTTTCACAACATATGTACATACATACATAAAAGTAAAAATATGCCATTAAAAATGGCACTACCGAAGATATATTTTATTTTTAAGGGCATATTTTTGCTTATAGGTGTGTTGTATGGCAGGCAACAGAAAAACTGAAGAAATTAATTAAAAAACTGAAATAAGCATTTACCTTTTTGCATAGAGGTAAAAATATTAATTTACTGAAATTATTTTTGAATTTATAAAATTTTTCGAATTTTCAAAACAATGAATGTTTTAGGTAAAATTAGTAAACCTGCATATATCATATTGTCAACCCTGTTTACAACAGGTTCATACTCGATTGTAGAATAGATGTGTATGTATAACTCAATATGCATACAAATATTGAGTATGTATGTATACATATATTTTGCGTTTTACTGTACATTAACATAATAATGTTATTTCAACAAGAAAGAATGAAAATTTCTTATTCTTATATTATAGTTTTAAGAAATGTCAAATTCTAAAAAGAAAATTCAAATGCGTATGAAACCTTTACTAAAATTAAAAATCTCAATCAATTTTCTAAAGTATAATTTTCAGCCGATTTCACAATTCCCTCCTTTTTGACAATGTATCAAATACTTATTCGCATAAACAAACTCTGGGTTATTTAGAAAATATGTTTTAGTATAAGTAACGTAAAGTAAGTATACAAAACTGTGGCATGAATATCTCAACAGGTTCAGAAATTCTTTTGTACTTACAGCACTTTTAACACAGTTGAAAATAATCGTTCTTACATACTAAATAATAAATGTGCAAATTTTTAAAATATATGTAGGTGATATGTATGCATAGTTTGACATTTCTTTTTTCTTTATTACATTTCTATAATGTATTAATCATTATCTAACAATTTATTTAATTGATTAAACAATTTTATAAAAGAAACGATCTTATTTAAAGAAACTGAGGCTGTTTCTATGTTTGGACCGCGCTGATTCGCAAGTGAATCAATTGAATACCTCCAAACAACCTTTCAAAATTTACAAATATCGATTTATGTACCTATGTACATGTTAATGCAAAACATTAAATGGAAAACGATATTAATTATAAAAGTGAAGAGTAAATTATAATTAAAATTTAAAATTTATCGAAACTACTTCCGCAATCAATCCGTAAAAAAAAAGACATTAATTAATTTGTTTAGGATATAATATACATATGTACATAATAATATGCACACTCTGTTCCTTTAATTGAAAAGTATTTAAATAATTTAGCATCATTCATAATATCTATTTAATATGTTATAAAATGTTATGCTCAACAATTTTTTTATAATGTATTGTACATTATTATTTTTTCTTTTTATGGAGTAAAGGGTTAATTTTTTTTTTTTTAAGAACAAAGGGTTAAAAAAAGTTAAATAATGTTGTGAGTTTATTATTTTCTTTATTGTTTTCTTTCCCTTTCCAAAAACTAAGTTGTGAGAAAGAGGAAGAAAACTTTGTTAATTATTGGTGGAGTTCTAACGGAAGACAAATATTTTTATAATTTTTTGTTTTTATTTCTTTTGTCACTTTTTGCTCTATGAAGATATTGCCAACATTTTTTAATATACATACATATGTCGTTCTTACCTTAGGATTAAAAATTATTTGTATAAAGCATTATTATTTTTTATGGTCTCAATTTTATAACTATTATTTAAAGGAGTTTAGAAATGGAAAATACTATTTTTAGTAAAATTTTTTTATTAAAAAAGAATGTAAACATAAAACTACCGACAAATGTCATATTTTTGACTATTTTTGCTTAACATTTTAATAAAATATGCAAAAATTTTGGAAAAAGTGTAATGGTTTTAAAAAATTAAAAAAAAAATTATTTATTTAAATAAAAAATAAATTTTAAAAAATTATAATCAACTAAATTCTCTATTCCATATAAAACTGAAACTTATTCCATTATCATCCATATGGCAATACTATTTGCAACATCAAATATCAACCAAATATGTTCTGATCAGTCCAACAACAAAACGTCCAAAAAAAACAGTTACCTCTGAGTTTTTGTTTTTTGTCAGTATATGTACGCTTTGCTCGCATTTTTGTCAGTTATATTTTATTGGTTGTGAAAAGTGCGCGCATCTCGTGTTAACAAGTTTTTTTCGTAAAGTGTGAAGTTTTTTTGTTTGAATTATTTTCGGAATTAGAAAAGAAATAGTGCTTTAAAATTAAAAAAATAATATTACTAAATAATAATGCTTTACATTATTAATCATTAAATTAATAATATTAGTTCAAAATAAAAAAAACTAAAGATTACATACATAAGTACATGTTATTTGCCATTATAATACTTGTACGTATTATATATTGTATTATTCTATATATTATCTTACATTATATTATATACATATATATATATATATATATATATATATATATATATTATATATTATACATAATATTATATTATTTCATACAAATTATATTATTATATGTATACATACATATGTACATACATCCGTGCAATGGACACAAAAGAATTTTTTGAAGGAAGTTTTGAACCGATGGGGCTTTCCTTATTTACTGGATTTTTTTTTGAGTAAGTAAAAAATTCTTTTTACTTTTAAGAATTTAGTTAAGAGTTGCAATCTAATTTTTTTTTTTGAAATAATACTTAATATTTTGCATATTATTATGTTAATACGAGTAGTATATACGTACATACCCACATATCGTCGGCTTAATTCTAATAGCAAATAACTTATTTTTCTCTACTTTACAGGAGACAAAAAAAAACTATTTTGTGACAATATTTTATATGGTTGCTTGTGAATGTTTTTAGTTAATTTAATGTTTAAAAAGAATTTTAATTAGAATATAACGTTTATTTACCTTTCATTGATATATTTACCTAGAAGAATGAGTTACAGGAAGTTATGAAAAAATTTATGACAAAAATGAGTTGTTTGCTATTAGAATTTAGCCGACGATATGTGTATATGTAAGTGTACTGCATGTTATAACGTGTACTATGTTTATGCTTATTGTATATGGACGCCAGGTTTACCAAATATAATATAAAGATTTATTTGAAATGAGATTAAAATTACCCGATTTTTGTTTAATTAAAAAATTTGTTAAAATTTGTATTATTATTATGAATTTTGTTGCATTGACATAATGCTAAAAACCTTCAACAAAGATGTTTTTGAAAAGAAATTTTTATTTCTGAAAACTTTAAATTTTTTTTTTTGATCCCGTCACAATTTACAATTTTTGAACATAAACTCATATAAATTAAAATTACCTGAGGTTTGGTAACCGTGATGCAGCCATAAATACGTATTTAGTAGCTAAAATTTTTTTGATTTAATACAAAATTTTAAAATTTAAATATTATATTTTAGCGGAGGAGTACACAGTTCAATCTTTTAAGTGTCTACACTACGAAGAATTGAAAAATTTTCTCCCAAAGAGTGGACTATGACAACTTTTCTGGAGCGCGTTTCAAAAAGAATTTGGTAATTTAGAGGTAAGTGAAAAAATTGTCTTCATTAATTTATTATTTGTATACATAGTAGCAAACATTTTTAGATTACTATTTTGTTTTTGATTTTTTAAAAAACTTTAAAAAAATATTTATTGAACCTTGTGAAGGGTATATTACTTTTGGTATAGACATATGTTTAAACATTTCTACATACATAATTTTGCTAAGCGCCAAATTTTTCGTTGTTTAATTATAGGTCGCATATATTCTAGAAGTTTTTATGAAATGGCTTGACAGGTTCGGGTACCTGCCGTACAACTCCAACAGCTTATTTTAAATATTTAAGAAAATAATAAAGTTAGGTTCGTAAGATTTAGCATTTATGTGTCCAATTATAGGTCACATATATTCTAGAAGTTTTTATGAAATGGCTTGACAGGTTCGGGTACCTGCCGTACAACTCCAACAGCTTATTTTAAATATTTAAGAAAATAATAAAGTTAGGTTCGTAAGATTTAGCATTTATGTGTCCAATTATAGGTCACATATATTCTAGAAGTTTTTATGAAATGGCTTGACAGGTTCGGGTACCTGCCGTACAACTCCAACAGCTTATTTTAAATATTTAAAAAAATAATAAAGTTAGGTTCGTAAAATTTAGCATTTATGTGTCCAATTATAAGTCACATATATTTTAGAAGTTTTTATGAAATGGCTTGACAGGTTCGGGTACCTGCCGTACAACTCCAACAGCTTATTTTAAATATTTAAGAAAATAATAAAGTTAGGTTGGTAAGATTTAGCATTTATGTGTCCAATTATAGGTCACATATATTCTAGAAGTTTTTATGAAATGGCTTGACAGGTTCGGGTACCTACCGTACAACTCCAACAGCTTATTTTAAATATTTAAAAAAATAATAAAGTTAGGTTCGTAAAATTTAGCATTTATGTGTCCAATTATAAGTCACATATATTTTAGAAGTTTTTATGAAATGGCTTGACAGGTTCGGGTACCTGCCGTAAAACTCCAACAGCTTATTTTAAATATTTAAAAAATAAATAAAGGTGAGTTTGTTTTTTTATTTTTTTCATTTATGAGGTACTTGTTTTTTTCTATTTTAACATTGGAAAATTTTTGAAGAAAAATATTTTTATAAAAAGCTAAAAGTAATAAGAAGAGGTTTGTTTAATTAATTCTAAAGATATTAGAAGCAAAAACAATTGTTTTGTTAATATGAAAGTTTTAGTCTTTATCTCTTGTATTAATTAATAAATTTATGATTTTAAATATCTTTTATTTAAACAATTAATATTATTATTAGAACATATTATTACTGAATGAATTCACAATATTATTTTTTTCGAAATTATTAAGTTTTGTGAAAACATTATTTTTATTTTTCCCAAAAAAATATTGTAGCAATATTTTAAGAAAAATATTTTAATACAAATATCTTTTTATTTACCTAGATGATATTCAGTGTTCTTACGTATTTGTGAATGACGTGCTTTATATATTGGATAGGCCATTAGCCGCCATTGACTTTTGTTTCAAAATAATACATGCAGTAAATGTAGAATATCAGCAGGACTGTGAAATTATTTGGATGTTTTTGCAGAAGTTTGTGTACGAAATATCCACGAAATATGATAAAACATGCATCAGACTTAATTCATTGATGTTTAACTTGGCTGCGTAAGACAACAACTATTTTTTTTCCTCTTGGCAGTATGATTTACAAATAATTTTTTGATACAAAATTTGATTGGTTGTTTAGCATATTGTTCAATTATTTGTATTTAAACTTATTACTAGTTAAACTAATTCAAAATATATCAGTATTATTTAAGCTTTACCAAAAAAAATTTTTCATCAAACTTTTTAATAATATTAACAAGAATATTAATTTGAACTTACATCCGACTAAAATATTATTTATTTGAAACAATTTTTAAATAATGGATTGCTTTAAATGTTCGGCAAAAGAATTTAAAAATGTCAAAACATTTTTAAAACACGTTTCATATTTTCATAAAAATGAAGCTATTTTTATTGGTTGAATATACCGATAAATTTGATTTATTGAGAATCGATGAATATTTACATATACATATTTACATAAAATTAAGTCGGAAAAGTATGTGTTACAATAGTTTTTTTATGTTTCAATTAGTCGTTAACAAACTTAGTATCAATTTTTGAAAATTTTGTGAATATAGTTTTGCTTTTACATATATCTTTCGTAATATACTATATCAAAAATAATAAAAATTTAATTATGTAAATGAAACAAATCCTTCAAAATTTGATAAAATAGAAAAGAATTGCTTATCTGAAAACAAATTTTTTTGTTATATGTAAAATGATAATGTAAACTATACTGTTTATTACAAAATATTTAATATGTATGTGAACTATGTTAAAAAACATTTAAACTATCTTAAATAAACTGTGCATCTATCTTAAAAAACAATATGCACAATGTATAAAATCTGAAAAAAAATAATAAATATAAATATATTCAATTTAAGAAATACGTTACCTACATTGTGAAAAAATGTAAATGATTTTATAATGTAAAATAAATCTAAAATTAAATGTAAAATAAATTCTTATGTATTAATAAAATTACCAGAGTTTATTTTATAACAAATTTTGTAATAATTTTTGCACTTTTAAACTATAATGAAGATAATTTGTAATATAATATTGGGTATATCGAAATTTATCATGTATTTAATAATTCTTTCAATTACCCGTGCTATGTTTAAAATTTCCATTAATTTAACATGATAATATCTGCTATATTTATGGTAAGGATTCATAGTTTATTAAGAACTCGCATAGTTATTGCAAAGATTACAATATTTTTCACGTGCTACTGTTCTACACATGTTACCAATACACGTTTTTCATTGCATAATTTACAATATATATAGCAACCGCTACAATTGTTAATAATGAAAAATGGTACGTTTGATGCAATTTTTTCATATTTTATATAGTAGTGTTTCCGAAATGCATATGATATTTTGCAATTTATTTATACTAAATATGACAACATTCATAGTACTGTTTACTATTTCTCATAGCACAATTTTCAATACTTTTAGCATTTTATACTATAATGCAAATTAATAAAATACATGAGGTATAACAAAATTTGCTATATTTATAGTAATCATTGCAATTACGTGTAACAACAAGCGCTATTTTTATTAAAACTTTCATTATTTTGTATGACAATATCTGCTATATTTATGGTAAGTATTCATATTTTTTTAAGAACTTGTACTATTTATTATAGTAAAGATGGTAATATTTTTCATATTTTACCCTTGTACACATATAACCAATGCACATTTCCCATTGTACAATTTACAATATTCATAGCAATTACTACAATTGTTAATAACGAAAACTGCTATATTTGATGTGAGTTTTGCATATCGTACATGACATTGTTTGCTAAATTTATATGATATTTTACAATATATTTATATTTAATATTGCAATATTTATAGCATTATTTACTATTTCTTATAGCACATAATACTGTTATACATAGTAAATAATGCTAAGGTGTATTAGATATATGAACATTTAATATAGGAAAATATACTATATTTTTAGTAAATGTGGCTATTTTGTATGGAAATTATTTGCTATAAAAATATAGCAAATACAGCTATACAATTCCACTATCCCAAAATATCCTATGTATATGGTAAAAATTGTACATAAATTATAGCAACGGCAGTCATATTTTTTTTCAGTGTACAATTCAAAAGTCGTATAAGTAGACATGAAAAACGAACAAAACACGATCGTTGTTTTTAAAAAAAATAAATAATATGTTCAATTTTGTATTCACATTCAAACATACAGATGAAAATTGGCATTTTTATGTAGGCAGAAAGTTAAATTTTCTCTTTTTATACTTTTCATATACATAGTTGCGATTTTTGTCCGCAACAATTTCCTATTTAAAAGAAAATTTCAATAGGAGTGAATAATTTTTTTAAAATTTTGTTTTCTTTTTTAAATTTTTAAGATTTATTAGTCTTTATTAGTATGAAAACTATATTTACTTAGTTTAATTGGACGTCATCATATCATAGAAAATATAGAAAAAATTTTCAGATAATAATTCAAAAAATATTGAAAATCTCATGGGATCAACATATAACCGACCGCAATGTGTATTGTCTAGTTTAGTTACAGATAATTATGAAAATGCTTTTTAAACATCTTTACAAGTTTAAGGACATAAGTTTTAGCTTTTAGTTAACATTCCTCGAAAAATATAAATTTTGCTCTTAGTAGAGCCATTCGCTTTGTGACTTTCGAATTCGCTGAAAAATTCACCAGAATAACCAGAACTCAAATATTGAATGCCATCAATTGGTTCGATAGATATGGCAAAAAATTTAAAATCGATCCGGTTCGATATTCTTAGGCCGAACCTTTAAATCCCGAGTTTAAATATTGAAGAAAATCGGTTGATTATTTTCTCTTTATATACGAAAAAATGTAAAATCGGGAAGGAAAAAAGTCCAGTTCCCGAGGCCAAAAAGTTGATCGATTCATGACATAACCGAAATATATCTCGCAATTAAAATTGCATCAAAATCGATTCAGTCGAACTTGAGAGACGCGCGCACAAAAACTGACAGACAGACCGGCAGACTGACAGATCGACAAACTGACAGACAAATAGACGAACAACTCTCTAAAAATAGAGAAGTGGGGTCCCACTGAAAATTTAACATCCGAAATTTGATACCACCACATGACCTTTCTTATTTTATGCAATGCTGGCGATATAAAACGAATGATATCTTTCAGATTTTCAAATGAATAGTGTTTTACTAATTAACACCTGATTAATTAACTTGAATATATTTTTATAATACTTTTGTCCATTTTAATGATGTGTTAGTATATGTTATTACGGACTCATATACAAAGCATAAAAACATAAAAAACAATTAAATAAAATGAATTGCATAGTGTTGTAAAAATTATTTTACAATTTTTTATGTTATTATTACTGACACTTTAACAGCATTTTTCTTGTATTTTTGTTTTTAATTCATTTTTTATTGATATTGAGAATAATAAAGATTTTTTTTTTATTAAATTTTTAAATTTTATAAAATTTATGATGATTTTATTATTATTATGTATAATTACAGCCTTTTATAATGTGTTATAATTCTGGGAATTATATGAGTATATAATAAAATATATTGCAATTATGACCAGCGTAATGCGTCAAAATCCAACAGTATTTGTTTATAAATAAGAATATTTAGTAATTTAGTTATAAGTAGTCCAAACCCCTGTACGTAATTAAGTCGAAGTAAAGCAAAAAATTTAAATAAATAAAGATTATTCCCTTAGACAGCAGTAGATGGAAAGACAAATGGAAAGTCGTCGGCAAAGAAAAGCATTTGAAAACAGATAAATTTAAGAAGTGTCTCTGCCATACAACACGTAAGTTATCTTGCTTTATATTATATTTACGGCAAAAAATTACATATAATTTGTAATTACACTATATAAAGTAGAAGGGAATTCCACTTTATCATCTTAGTATTAAGAACCTACTAATTAAAACATTAATTCGCATTGTATGCCAAATAAATATTAACTTTATGTAATATACACTGTTACAGTTGTAACACTTCTGTATAACATAATAACTTCACAAGAAAAATAATTAAAATTTATAACACATTATTGGATTAAATCCACAAAATTTGCATTTAATACCCCATTATTCTCTGACAAGAATTTTAAAACATTTAAAATTGACGAATTAAAAATTATTTTTAAATTTTACATTGAATAATTTATAATTTTAAAAATAAAATAAAATATAATAAATTTTTAATCTTGAACTTTGTCATTTCGAATATTCAAATTGAGTTCAAAAAACAAAAAAAAAAACTTGTATTTGAACTAAAAATTTAATTATGTTTTTTTAGGATTTTTTAAAAATTTAATTCAAAATGATAAACGAAAAATAAATTTTTTTTTTTTAAACATACTCTCCATATTAGCACGACAATCATCATATGTGAATTCATCACGTTCACCACGTAAACATGATGCTAAACGTCTTGATGTACGACGATCACGATCCTTATCTAAGGATCTACAATATAAATGTGTTGTTCGTTGTAATTGCATTGTTTGTTCATAATTTTGTTGTTGTAATGGTGTTGTATTCAATTTTTTACGTAATTCTGGTGATGGTATCGGTGATGATATTACCGGTTCATCATTTGATGCTCTTGATAATGTTGCACAATTCATTTTGAAATTTATATATATATATATTTTTTTATTTCTTTATTATTATATTTAATTTTTATTTTGAATTGAATTTGAATTTTTTTTTTGTTTCAAATTTGGAGCTTAATATTTAACTTTTTTTTTTGGTAAAAAAGCTGATTCTTTTAATATTTTATTTTCTATATATAAATGATTACTAAATATTCTTATAAACTATAATTAATATAATGATATAATATCTGAAATGATTATTATTTTTTAATATAAATTTATTTGATTACATTATTTTATTAATAATATTTAATTTTAATTCATAAACTTGATAAAAAACATATTTTATACACATATTTTTTGTGAAAATTTCTTGAATTTCATTGCACATTGTGCCTAGTTGTAGTTAACTAAAATTTCAATTATTCATTTATTTTCTTTTTTGTATTAATTTTTTGTAATGTTGCTGAAACATTTTTCTATTTTATAGCTTAAATAATTTAAAATTTTTAATTATGATTTTAATATTTATATTTGACACTTTCATTATTAACTAATACGAATATATTAAAAATTATTTAATGTTGCTGCGAATAATATCTATAAAATTATAATAATTTAA